CAGGTGTGTTTGATTAGGGTTGGAGCTCAAGTCTCCAGGACACCGGCCCTCCAGGAACAAGTTTGGTGACCCCTGCTGTAAACAAATAAACTAATCTAAAAGAAATAAATATTACTCAAATGGATTAAGTTCACAGTACTCATTATGATTAGTTTTTGAACTTACCTTCAAATGGTTTGTTGCAATCAGGTTTGAGTTACCTTTGCTTTTGGGGTTTTACAGGGTAGTGTACAGATGCTTTTACAACTACATTTCTGCTGGCAAGTACTAATACTTTTACTCGAGTATGATTGTTCAGTGCTTGTTCAGTACAAAGCATTGTACTTTTTTTCAACCCAACAGTTGTGTTTGTCTATATTTAACAAACATTGGGTTACAACAACCCAGCATTTTTTTAAGTGTATGAAATCTGCAGCCAACTGGAGCAAATGATGTTTACCACGGTTGAGAATGGGCATGTTATGAGCGGAAACTTTGCCTTTACTAAGAATAGCCATTTCTAGAGCTCACTAAATAAAAAGGGCCGCTCTCCCTCCTGACCCAACACAATCGGCCGCGGGGTTACTGATGGGTCGATCGCATTCCTATCGGACGCGAGTAATAAAGGATGCTGGTATTTTGGGAAATCATCGGGAAACGCTCTAGATGTATTTCCCTGAAAGGGGAGCTCTGCATGACTTGAGTCTGTATAATATCGTCTCCTTCGCCGTCATGTGAATCAAAGCTGCCCTTCCAGTCTGACGATGAAAGATATTTGGGTGTGAAAACTTTACATTTGAGCCCTTTTGTGTCTCCAGACAAGACCAGAGCTGCTTAATCTGTGGTTTTATCTCTGAAGGAGGGTTTTCTGCTTGTCTATAGAGGAAGAGCTGATGAAGATCTCTCCAGCGGTTTATAATATCTCTTTTACACAGCTTATAATATCTCGGTTATGCATATTTGGTTGTGGTTGTTTTGGTTTATTATCAGCTAGCATCTTTGGTTACACTGATGGTCCATTAGTTCATGTATTTACCAACATTAATAATCTTGTACAGCATTTATTAATCATTAATGCATTATTAAAATCCACAGTTGTGCTTGTTTTACATCAGTGAATGCACTGAGATAACTAACCTTATTTAATTGAAATAGCATGAATAAACACTGTAATAAATGTCTAGTAGTTTGTTCATGTTAGTAAATGCATTAACTACTGGACAGGGTTAGCTCCTCTTTTCTCTGTGGCAGCTCTGCGTTTGTGTTTTATATTTAGCACACAAGACGGAGTTAGACAAGTGTGTAAATTATAAGCGTTTGGGTATTTTAGTGTTTCATAAGGCATGAATGGTTGACTGAAGCGTGGCCTTTACAGCAGGTGACTGTACAAACAGTGTAATTGAACGCCTACACGTGAGGGATTGGCCTGCTATTGAGACGAATGTGTTTGTTCTGCTCATACATCAGTTTTACAGCCGTACGGCACGGAATGAAATACCGAGAATCTGTTTTTCACTTAAATCTTCTGTCGTTTAAAGTGACGTGTCGACTGATGGCGAAGATTTTTACAGTTTTGTAGAATGTGGAAGCTGATTTACATTTGTGCATCCTGTCTGTCTGTCTGTGCACACACACACACACACACACACACACACACACTGCTGAGGACAAGTGAA